TAGAAAATTTCTGCTAAAGAGAATCCGACACTAAATTTGATACCATGTATGTATCATAACACGCTGTCAATTTTATAATTAACGCAGGCATATGGAAGACAAGAATTTACGCAAGTTGCAAATTGTTCTCAGAATGAAACTAATACTCACGTACGGAAAGAACAATTTTGTGCCAATGTATCTAAAAAGGAACGGTATCATATTATGGTTGGTTTTTGGGTCCATGCCAATTTAGCTCATATTGGACTCATATTTTAGTTCTTCGTAGGAAGACAAAACTCTGTAAAACAGTTTCTTTCAAGATCTAATACGTTGAGAGAAATGTTTTTGTTATGACGTGTGACTTACAAAAACTTTTCACTTTTTAATTAAAAATTTTTGTTCTTATAAATATTTGTTATTTTAATTTTGATTAAAACAACCAAATTTTATATATATCACATATATCATATGAAATATTTCTCTCAATAAAGAAACTCTTAAAGATACTCTTAAAGTCTTAGATAAATGCTAGATAAATCTGAAAATAAGTTTGTTGGGTCATCAAAATAATTATGTGAAATACTTAAACTGACTGCTAGAATGTCAAAACTATTTGCATTATATTATGATAATGTATTGTAATGATTATGCAACTTGTATACTCATTTTAATCCAACAAAATTATTTTCAGATTTGTATCTGCCTAAATTTTTAGATACTTCAACAAAACTGTTTTTTTCCATGCAAATTATTTCACTTTCTTTTTAAAGGCGGAGCAATAATGCGGATATTTTGATTACTTCTAGGTTTTTATGCCACAATGCATATTGCATTATATGCTATTGTATGCACTGGCGTGTTTTCAAGAGAAATTCTCTGCGGCGCGATGGACAATTCTGAAACTTTGCTATTATGTATTTTTTATTCATAATCAGTGTGATGCTCAATTACTTCATTGCTTTTTGAAGATGATATTATGGTGATTGTTTACTTTACGCCTTCCTTGAATAATTGCTCTCGATTCACTATGCGATTGGCCAGTATTTTACATTTCGTTTTAATTCAGAGGTAACAGCTGCAACGACAGATTTACGTTATGTTTTTAACGTTATATCTATATATCCTTCAGCAAATATTTTCGAACATCCGGTCATCGGCGCGCATCTCGAATACGTTGACATACGATCACCATCAGTCAGGTTGAAAACGATTTTTTTACTTATTCGATTGCATAGTGATTGAGTATCGTTAACTGTCGATATTTGGTCAAGATATTGTAGTATTTTCGCCTATCGTGTTCTGCGTGATATATCTGTCACTTTATCATTTTCCGCAACAATTTCATGATACTGTTATAATTTTTTGTCGACACAAATACGTTCGAGATCACGCTTTTTCTTATACAATACATTGAAATTTAAATACCATTTATATAAATCTTTCCTTTTTCTTCCTCGCATTATCTTGATATTTTAAAATGGCTCTTGCTAAGTGGAGATAACGGTAGAAATGTACTTTTAGTCTCTTTCTCTATCTTTTCCTTTAGTTTTTTCCGCGTTAAGTAATTTTTTATTACTTATTCTTTTCTATCTTCATATTCTACTTTTTTTTAAAAATATTTTTCATTCTATCTTCACTGTTCTAATCACTGATTTTTCACGCTCGCGACACTTTTTATTTTGTACCTCTAAAGTCACGCCACGCATGGACTGTATTTAACGCCTCATCTTCCGATATATGTATATGTTTTTACACACGCGGTATGGACACTGAGGGTGGATACCGGCGGTTGGCGGATCGTATCGTATCGCGATTCGTCCGGAAAACTGACATCGATCAATCATATCGCAGACGAGTGTCGGTTTCCACGAAGCCTCTCCCTGACGTTCGTCACGTTTTATTACAATGCTTTTATACGCCCGAATGCGCACACTGCTCGGCTACGGGATATTTTTCCATAAAAAGATCACTCGTCCGGCGTCTGCAAATCATAGTCCACGGCGAATAATGAAATTTTGACGCCGCGAGCGTACTTTCTACTGGAAAAAATAACGTAACGGTCGACGGTCTAAAAGCATAGTTGAATATTTAAGGAGGAACGTAATTTTCCTTGCCATGACTTGTACAATTTGCCTATTTTTCTACATCGACACTGAAATAGCGACTTGAAACTTTTAACACTTTGACCTGGTTCTTGATGGCTACAAACTTTAATGCAGATTGGTGATAAGTAATATTCTCATCTTGAAAAATGAACATTATTATTTTAGTCTCCAAGAATAGATTTATATCGCGTGAATGCGCAATCGTACTTATTGTTAGAATGGTTTTAATAAGAATAAATGCTTGATGTGATCAAGATTGTAGAAAATAAAATCTTATGGTTTGAATTTTATTATGGTTTATATGTTCGATATTTATAACATATTAGTCTAGATAATACGATTCGTAAAAGCAATAATTACATTTTAAGTCCTACTATCAAAAGCGTCATGATTTAAAAATAGCTCGCCTAACAGAAATAGATCGGTGCTTAGGAAATGTCCACTATCTTATATTTCTTTTTAATATGATTAAGCGATAATTTCCCTTCGCGCCAGCTTATATATTCCACTGCTAACGGACACGTTTGCATGTTCTTTCTTGCGTTGCCCCGCCGCTCTCGACAAGCGCAATTAAATTGAAACCAGCAAAAAATTTGTCCGTAATGCCGCCTGCGAAATCCCCGAATGCGATCGCGAAAACTAGTTTCGCGAGAGACGAGCCATCGAGAAGTAATATAAACTTTATATCCCTCTTCACGAGCGGAGAACTCGTAAGACAAATATATGTCGAGATCGTCGTTTCCGGTTCGCGTGCAACGCGCGGACGGGACGGCGGTGCTCCACGGGGTTACAATGTAAACGTATATTGCCGGAGTGTATACAGATATGAACTTATACGTGTGTCTATATCTGCGCATATATGTGTATGTGCGTGCGTGCATGCGTGCGTGCGTGCGTGCGTGCGCGCGCGTGTGTGTGTGTGTGTGTGTGTGTGTGTGTGTGTACATATAGGCGCGTGGAGCAGTCGAGTTTTCAGATTCCGCCGTAAAGGCTGGCGGCCGTCGTAAAAGAATTGCGTTAAACTTAACGTTCGGCCGTTAAGAAAGGTTCTGATAAAATAAAATCTTAATTCTGAGGGGAGATTTAGGGTGCTCTCCCTTTTTTTCGCCCTACCCACCGTCGCCATTCTGGGTGGAAAAGGCACGTCGTACTCTCATCTTCTCGAGATCAGCCTTAACGGTTCGCTGGACCGACTATTAAACGTATCTCGTGCGCCTAATCCTTTCAGATCCAAATTTTTATTTATCCGCGATCTTAGTTTTACAACCTAAGGAGGCGAACTAAACAGCATTATATTCACAATGAGATATCTCTTTCATTTCTCTGCGTGATCTATTTCGTATAATTCCAATGACAAGTTAAAATAATCTTATAAAAAATCATTTCAGTACATCTAATAACGAATTCGATTGCACGCACTGAGTATGATTGGTATATATGAAAACCATCGTACAAATTGACGAAAAATATGTGTTTAATGTAAATATAGAAACTGATTAAACCGTGAAATCCTCAATACACTTTATTGTATTGTTAGATTAAAATACGTATTTTATAATTCGAAATATTTGCATTTTATTTTTACACTCAGATTAAATCACTATACAGTTTTAATGTACACCAGTGCGTATTAGTGCGTACAACTGAATTTATTATAAATTTAACTCTTATAATTAATACACGCGATTAGATTATTTATATCCTGCGCATTTTTTTTCTTATTAACAGCACTTGACTAAATAATGGTCTTTATTCTTTTTTTTTTAACACATAAGTATATCAATATTTTCTAAATATATTACGTGATTTTTCAATTATTCCCATGTCTTGATCCTGAAATATTTAAATACATTGAAGGCATTTAATGATGCATCAAGATACGAAAATAACCCGCAAACCGCGTTGTTTCTTTGAAGAAAATACCTGTGGAAATCTCAAAAGTGCTTTCTAAAGATGTTAAATTATATATAAAATAAAGTAATTAATTCCTTTAAAAGGGAAAAGGGACATTAAAAAAAATACATCAACATTAATTATAGTAATTAATTTTTAATAAATAAACATTTTTTAAATAATTTTTAATGTAACATATGAACAATATTATATTATATTTGTAAATAACTAATAACTGTATAACATTACATAACATCACAACAAAAATTACATCAAATTACGAGGTCACATTTTATTTTTTTAAATTATATTTTTCTACTGAATGCATTTTATGAATAATATCTGAGTTCTTAAATAAAAAATTATAAAATTTTTCACATTTTTATTAGTTGAAAATTATATTTTACACTTATATTTATTTATTATGTCACACTTATTATTTTCGCCCTTAAAAGAAGCACAATTCATAATCATATTCTTAATTTGGGATAAAATTTGGAACATGTTGTAAAGTGGAATAAAGAATTAAAATGTAGGACTTCCTTCTAATTTGACGGTTGGTCCATATTGAAATAAGGATTATTTAATAATTTTTATATACTTATAAATTAAGTGATAAAAATTGATCGATTTAAAATTAAACGATTTATCGTTTTATTATTAACAAAGGACCGGAAAATTATCGTACTAAGGATTAAACAACTCTTTCATGCAAAGAACGATTTTATACCGAAAAATTTAACTAGATACAAATCTGAAAATAATTTTATGGACCATCAAAATAATTATGTAGTTCAAGCTAATTATTAAAATGTCAAAACTTTTTGCAATATTGTTTCACACTGAATTTTTTACATAATTATTTTGATGATCGAACAAAATTATTTTTACATCTGTATCTTTGTCGAAACTTTCAACAAAACAACTTTCGTTCTTTCTATAGTATATGTGAAAAGTTCAACTTTCACGACGTCTTTTTCAATTATTTTATATTTATCTAATGCTTTTGTTCCTTTTCAGCAAAAACGGATATGTATGCGTCATGTTCCATAGAAGGGACGAACACGTAATAGAAATGCAACTGTCGGAATGGGGCCAGCAGCCCGACGACATATGCAACTCGAGCACATTCAACTCACACACGATGCCGTACACGACGTTCATCAGTAAGTAAATTTTCCGATCTCCTAATCGAATTACGCATTGTCGTCGCAATATCACGTCGCAGCAGTAAAGTAACTAATTGGGCTTTAATGCGGGGTGTCAACTTTCTCGAGCCTGGCGAATGTAATATACGCAAATTTGATTACGCTTAACAGTGCTCAGTTGACGGATCGTGTTATATGTTTGTTACTGCAGTTTCAATTAACGCAGTCAAACGCGGCCGGTCCCACCATTAATGCAGCATTTTTGCTTTGTCGGTATTACAACTGTAATTAATCGAGAGTAAATTAATTTGCCGATATTCCGATGAGATGGCTGGCAAATTAACTTTCTTTTGGAAGTTATCAAAGAGCCCCTTTCTTCCCCTTCTCCCCCTTTCTCTTCCCCTCTCTTTCTTTTTAAAGCAAGTCAGCTGCATTTTATCACTCGATTAATATTCGCGGCTTCTTAATTTTCCATTTGCCTCGATGTCGCCTTCGCTTCGATGCGAACGGAAGCACGATAAAGTACGCGAAATAATATCGTATTCGAGCACTCCATGGACATAAAATTTCTCCACTATTCGCGAAGGATCCATTACCGTAAAGGGCGCCGATATAATGAGATCGTGAAATAGTATGCCCATTTCTTTTTCATTGTAAGCCAAGATTAAGTAGATTGGAAATTCGGCCGCGTTCCGCGTTGCGACCGGAAATCAGAATCAGAAACGTTTGCTCGAAAGTGATTTCCGGGTTTGCGTCAGCCTCCTAGCTTTGGTGCCAATTCGACTTCGATGGAACCCTCCGTTTTTTTTTCCGATTCATTGCCCGCGTCTCCTGGTTTGTCTTGATCTTATCGAGTTATTCTGACTGGAGATAAGCGAATCATGAGAGATCCGTGCGTAACTAAATGAAGACTCGATACATTTTGCCCAATAAAATATTCTGCCCCACAAATATTTTGCCTCTTCATTACTTTAAACAAGCATATGAAGCATTAGCGTATGAAGTAGGTATTAGTCCCTCAGTGTCACTTTTAGTATGATGTACCCAGCTTCCTTTTTCAATATTTTTTTCAATGCTTTTTCCATTGCTTAACTTTTCTACTTAACTATAACTTTTCTATTAATAAAGACATATATTTGAAACTGTGTTTTTAATATTTGATTTTGATTGAAAAAATTTTTTAGTTTATTTTTGCGAAAGTTATAGATAATCAAATTGGATGTGCTATACGTAAGTGTGTCGTTCTCATAATGTGGCACCGAAAGATTAATTTTGCAATACTGATGCATTTATTTGCGTTGGATTTTTCATCTGGAGAATTATATTCTACCGGTGAAAATATCTATATCACATTGCAATCGTATACGTATATTGTATACCACATCTTGAAATTTTCGAATAAAACGTGATTCGTGATCTAACAAAAGAGCGTCTTGTTTAGCTTCTCAAGCCAATTTCAGACATCGATCTGTGAGTCTGGCGACGTCGGGATACACGGTGATTTTACGAACGATTCACTCAAACACACACAATTCATACGGGCTCGTGATTTGTCTCGACCCTACGAGCTCTCTCCTACTGATATATGGATTCGCGTATATTTTGAGCAAACGTCCACGTATATAAAGCGTACCAAATTCTATCGCATTTTTGCTTCACACACAGGTCCCTTGGTTAATTCAGAACCGATTTTTCTCCTGCGAAAGTTCTAGTAACCTTCCAACATTCGACTTTAAATACTTTTGTAACTAATCTTCAACTTAAAAGTCTTTTAAAGCGAAAAGTTTATCTAAAATTAAATGAGGGATAAAGTTTTGTTATCTATTTTTGCCCTGAAGGCTGTTTCGTGAAATTTCCTAGATCTTCAATGCCGTAGCTCAAGAATGATTGATGCCTCGACATTATTGCGAAGGATAAATCTACCCCAAATCTGTCCAAGAATCTGTACGTGAAAGGTACCTCGAAGGGGGTCTGTACCATGTACTCGGTGATGGAAAGTACCTATATACTTGCGAGAGAAGCGCGCGAGCGCATTCGGCGAGAAGTTTGCGAATGGTGGAGTTTAACAATCAATTCGCGAAGCGCGGGTTTATGAGCGCATAAAGGATCATATGCCGGATCCATCGTAAAGTCTCGTAAGACTCGGTTCGCCTTTCAGTTTCTCCTTAGCCGATTTCAGCAATGTCGACGAAGAGCGGAGCCGTTCCACCGCGCTGTCGGTGCGGAATTTATCGCACTCGTCTTCTCTTTTGTGTGTCGCGGTACATTCTTAGGCACACGCATTATCACCGAAGATTGCTCAGCTAAAAGTTATACTGTGTGAAAATAGCATTTCTCAATCTTTTTTAGCATGTAACTAGACTACGATATTAATGCCTTTCTCATCTGTCATTTTAAAATATTAATTTCTGCAAAGTATTGTATAATAATTTTGCTGAAATATTTAAAAATTTAGGTAGGTACAGATTGGAAAATAAATTTGTTGGATCAACCAAAATAATTATGTAGAAAACTGGAGCATGAGTAACGCTGCGTTTTGACATTTTAGCAATTAGTTTTTCTGTTTCTACAATTATTTTGTAGGTTAACAAAATTATTTTCAGCTCTATCAGTATCGAACTATATTTAAATTTTTTAATATTTTAGCAAACTTGTTCTTTCCATGTATATCCCGTTTTATCTGTTTATTAATTTCAAGACATATTTTAAATATAATTTTGTTTTTATTATGCAAGCAGAATATCTCATCTTAATTTTAGTTCGTTTTTGCACTTTAACACTTTTTAATCAATGTGAAGGTTATTTAAATTTAAATAAATCTTGTAATGAATATTATACATTAGACAATAAGAATAAAATATGCATTCTTATAAGTTGTCATTATCGGTTTAGAAAACTTTAATACTTTAATAATATTCTCTCTCTCTCTCTCTCTCTCTCTCTCTCTCTCTCTCTTTCTCTCTCTCTCTCGCTGCGTTATCATTCTTTTTTTTTTCTACCACTTCAATTTATTGTTTTTATTTTTTCTTAATTTTATTACTCCATATGTTATCATTGCTGTACTTTATATGACTTTAAACATTTTTTATCACTACTATTTTGTTTAATCATTTCAGTTCTATCTTACACAATTTTGTATATTTCCGCATACTTTTATTCTTCATGTATTATTTATGTTGTATTGCTCTTGCTAAATTTTACATATTTTTGTATATTCTTTCCATTGTACTTTCTTTTTCTTTGTTTATTTTTATGTTAGAGAGGTTGCCCTAGAATAAAAATAAATGCTTTTATCTCTTTTTCTCAAAAATCGAATTGAAGAGAGACGCTATATTCTCTCTCTCTTAATTCTTTCTAACGCAACAGACGCTAATTCTAAGATCAGTTTATATCTATTACATATATAATATATGTAAGTAATGTTATATTAATTATTTAATTATTTAGTAAATGATGGTATTATTTAAATGATAACATTATTTTGTAAATGCACTGTGCCCCTATCTCTACTACTCAAGCGGAAAAGTTACTGTTAGTTGGAAAAGCTTATTATAAAGTAATTTTCAAAGCTTTTAGTCCTGGTCAAAATAATGATTAATGTAGTAAATATAATAAACAGTAGTAAAAAGATTTATATATAAAAACGAATCTTTCGCATAGAATTTTTTGAATGAATCGTCCCGAGAGATTCAACATTTTGATGGTGAACGTAATAAACAGCGGCTTCTCACTTTGGCGTGGATCGTGTTGCACTAATTTCCTATAAGAACAAAGTAGAACGCGTTCATCTTGCCGTGTGGAACGCGTCGACTGCGTGTCGATCGCATATCAAATTGCTCGGCTAAAAGTTACACTACAATGTAAGCAACGATCCTCTGTCGCTTGTCGCCGGAGAATCGCGTGAAAGTTAATGGCTGTTCTTCACACATAAGAAAAAGACAATTTGTTTATAATTCGTCGCTCTATTTGACACGTTATCAAATGATCAAATATTATTGGCATTAATAAAAAAATTGTACCAATTGAAATTGCTAGAGCATGATTTAATTAAGATAATGATATCCTACAAAATTAAATGTGCTTTACGCGTTTTCAGCATCCGATCCGATGACCAGGCAATGCCCCAATCTCGGTCGCTACGAGATCGTGTCGTTGTTTCGGCCACCGAACGCCGACAACGTTGAAAGCGTATTGGCTGTCGACGGCGAGCAGAACATTGCTAACGCAGCGGAGGTGCACGACGGGAGAGTACCCTCGACAGCATTCCCAAGCCAGTGCCACCACGGTAGTGTACGTAGATTGGACATCGGTTGCAGGACACCCGATCGTATGGAGTTTGCCACGTCTTGCAGCGACGAGGCGTTATCCG